AGTGATGGAAACAATTTTTATATAACATTGAGACTGGAGATGTTTGATCATGCCATCATCTGGACTGCAACCAGGTGTCTGGGCATAGAAATCAGCATTGAATACACAGTGCACAAAACTATCCTCCAACACAGTTGGAAAGGGAAGGTAGTGCAAAGTAGAAGGAAGCAAGGACAAACTTGAATCTTGAATACCAATATTTGTGGTGTTTTACTTTCACTTTCCCAAATCTTATATAAACATGGCTGCCTATCATGTCTAATGATAGAATTCACCCTCTTTATAAGCACGAGCTAGATGTCTTGAAGACATAGACTGTTAGACATTAATTAGATTGGCAAATGTAATCAATGTGGACATTCTGTAGGGAAAAACTTATGTCCTTTGCTACTAATTTGAGTGTACAGTTGGCCCAGTATTTGAAGAAAAGATGCTGCACAGAAAAGTGGTACAGTTACAGGACTAGTTGTGCCATTTTATCAAGGTGAGTCAACAGCTAGCCACATTGGTGTGCCTTGAGAGCATCTGCTCCAACCTTCTGTAGACACAATCCAATACTGATGGTGTTTTACTTTCATCTTCCCAAATTTTATGTAAATATGGCTGTCTGTCCTGTTTAATGATAGAATTCATTCCTGGAATGAATTCTGAGAAACATGGTTTAGATTAACTGAGATAAAATAGTTCATAGTAACCATGTATTTCTTTTTGATTATTGAATGGAAAATTTGTTGTAGATCTGGAAAGGTACCTTTCCCCACCCTTTAAAGACATGATTTATGCCCTCTTCCATTGGTACTTTGTCTTTGCCTAAAATAAGGTTGTAAATGAACCTTTGCACAAGGCTGTTTTCTAGGTGCATTAATTAATTCTCTGTCTTTTGTGATTAAATACCCTGACAAAAGCAGCTTAAAGGAGAAGGGATTGATTTTGGTGCAGTTAATAGTTCATCCCAGCCAGGAGGCTTATGGTGTCGGGGGCTTGAGGCTGCTGGGTATGCTGTATCCACCGTCAGGAAGCAGGGGGAAACTGACAGGGGAGATGAATGCTTGTGCTCAGCCAGCTTTCTTTACATGAAGTCTAAGACCAAAGCCCATGGAATGGTGCCACTCAGATTAAGAATTCATCTTCCAGGGCTAGAGAGATGGCTTAATGGTTAAGATCATTTGCTCTTCCAGAAGACCTCAGCTCAGTACTTCAGTTGTAATCTAAACCCATTTATTATGTACACCACATCCCCTTGGACTTCTCTGAGATGGTAGGTGGGTTTGGGAGACAAGGAGACCAACATGAATTTAAAGCTCATACTGCCTGCTGTGTTGTGTGTGGTATAATCCTTTCCCTCTGGCTTTGGAAGGAATGGTGGGGCTAGGAAAGGTTCAGTGGTAGAGTGGTTGCCTAGCATGTGTAAGGTCATAGACTTGATCACTGACTCTTGAGAGAGGGGCAAAGAGGAGTAGGAGGGAGGAGAAACTGATTAAGTATGTGTAACTTTTAATACTGTTCAAAAGAGTTTAATTTAATATGAAATAACTCAGGTTTTTAAACTTGAAGCTTATTTTTTGATTGGTTTTGGCTTCTGAAAGCACATTTTTGTAGGATATCTAAATAACACCATCAGTTTGTGTCCAGATTCATACCAATGCATCATTCAGGAATTATTTATTTAACAGTATCATGCCCTGCTTCCAGTCTTTGGGTACATATTTCCTATGTGAGGGCGCTTACAGAACAACTCATTTTATTTTCTGTATTTTTATGACCTACCACCATTTTTTCTAGATCAAAATAGCTATAGCTAGATTTAAATTCAGACTTTACATTTTAAGAAAATTATTTCTAATATTTTAGCATTTACTACTTGTAATTTTTATCATATTATTAATTTGAGTACCTTGTTACTTTTATTCAGATAGAGTACCAAACCTACCTTTGGCCAAAAGGAAATGATTTTAAAAAATTCTTTTGTCTCCTACATTTTTATTATATAAAAAAACTGAAAATAAGATTCAAAAGCTAATTATAGGCATAGAATATAGCTTAGTGGTAGATGCTCCCTTACTTAGCATGCGTGGGTGGGGTGGGACAGGGAGTTAAAAAAATAAAGCAACAGTAGAGCAATGTGGTTTATTAAGATACTGAATTTCTTAGTTTTTTATCTTTAAAACCAATTATAATAGCATGACACTGTTATAATATTTTAATAAAACATTTACATTTATAGTCACTTAATGTAATATATATGACATAGGAAACAAAAGGAAGAAAAAAGATACTTGCCCTACACAATTGATGAGATACACCAGTCTCTGGTATTTGCTTCACAAGGTTTTAAAAGATAAAAATCATATATAAAAAATAGTTATTTTTTATAGTTGTGAGCTTTCAAATTAAATACCTGGATGTTCTGTTTACCAATATGTATAGAAATGGTTACATTTATTTAATATTTAATATTTAGATTTAATATTTAATATTAGGTTTAATATTTAGAAAAACATTAAGAAACCAGTTTTTAATGGCTGCTACACTTTAAACTTGCTAATTCAAGATTCATTTATACTTTTAAAATATACATCCTGTAAGTATGAAAGTTTTTTTTTAAGAAAAACTACATGCCAATCTATTTTTAAAAAGCTTCCTAAGTTTGTCCCCCGCACTCTCCTTCCT